AAAATTACTTTAGCATCTCATTTCCATAAACAGTGCTTGCCATCATTTGCCAAACCAATAAAAATTTTCGCAAATGAACGTCAAAATTGCCATTTTCTCTTTAGAAATCAGCAGAAACACTAACTCAGTCTCAATTCACTTAACGTAGATCAATCACATAACTCTTAGACATCTCGTTCGTCGTCATCCTACTCTTTGTTGCAGTACCTAAGTAGAAAGCGGCATTTTTTCCCATAGTCAAAAGATTGAAGGGAACAATGCTTTGCTTTGACTCAAACTACTGACGACCGCGCATTGTCTACATGTCTGATGCCTAGGACTAACGCTCTTTTTCGTTGATTTCGTTGACTCCGCTTGTGCTAGTTTTGTTAGAAATGAATCATCTATCAAATAATAAAAAATCTGTGAAAGTTTGAATGGAGCGACACAGGAGATTAGACAAGTGTGACCCATCCATTGATTGTATCGTCCCACGCATCCCAAAACGCGTGGCGCACTCGTGGTTCAAACATTTCAGATGACAAAGATGTAGTGGTTGTGCATCTGAGCAGTTCCGAAATGCAAGTGTCTTTTGATGGAAAGATACATCTTGTAAGGATAAGCAACGTCAGCGCTGATGACGAAGGTATGCGCTATACTCTAGAGTTTGATGGCCGTCGCTGGAAAGCAAAAGGTGTTCGACTTCAGCACTCTGCACTGGTGAATTTTTTCGCACGATTGACAGTCGCTTCTAAATGTTTTCGTTATACTTTCAGATACTGGGATTAGGTGAAGCTGAATACGAACTATTTTCGCCGGATACTTTCCAAGGAGAGCGCGCTGCAGATGGATCTGGAATGATTCATTCATCACATGCACCAATGCCGGGAATCATCGAAAAAGTCCTCGTGAAAGTTGGAGACGAAGTGAGCAGGTTTTTATTAATTGATCGAGGTCGTTTTCCAAAAATTTTAACTTATTCGAGGTACGGCAAGGCGAACCTCTTGTTATAATGACTGCTATGAAGATGGAGTATATAATAAGGTGAGTTTTTTTTTTATAAAGCTGGACATTACGCTTTCGCTGGCTCGACAACATTTTCAATTTGCCATTGTTATTTTAAATTACTGAAATTTTATGCAACGACTTCCAATGTTCTTATGAATAATTGACTCACGTACTTAGAAGATGATGCTAATCTTCGATAATCGCATCATTTGTATGAGGTGGCGAAATAGCAATTATAGCGCGTTTGTAGGTTATAATTCTCTCTTTTTTAAATCAATCTGACACCAGGTTAGTTACTTTTCGTATTTCTTCCTATGCTTCTTGATTCTCATCTTCATAGCACACTCTCGCACTTAGAAGAAAAATTTTTAAAGGGTCTTCTTCGCGTAATATAACTAATAACAGCGTTTCCGTTATGCCCACGATTCAGAGAATTGTCAAAACAAATGAAGAATTCAGCTAGACTCAATTCGCAGTGAAATCTGTCCACGCAATTATTCTCAGTAACCTTTCTTCTACAAAAGGTAAACTGCGATTGAATGTAGTATTTCATTTTGTTTCTGATTTCATAATTTTTTTTT